AAAAAAAAAAAAAAACCAAAAGAAACCAAAAAAAAATGAGAGTCCTTAATATAGCTTGCATCAACGCCAATGGCAAATTACAACAAGAAGCCATTGATTCCGCACTATATCATTGTAAAACCATCGACCTCCTCTTCATAACAGAGACCTGGCTCCCTCCAGACAAATCTATACCAACCCACCGGAAACAATTCCATATATACGGTTCACCAGTCCCTCAATCGTACCGTTTTCAAATGGGCATCTCTCTATTCATCAATCCAACATTTAAATACACCAACATCTATGTCGATACCCAGTCCTCTCCCTACTACAGTGACTCACAAAACTGTCCCAATTGTTGTGGTTCAGGTAGGTTTAAGGAATTTGTTGATAAGACAAAGATAACAAAAGAATAAGACAGAATAAATCTGTGAAAACTTTGTATAAAACTTTTATTATCAATCAAAATTAAAAATTAAAAAATTAAAAAAAACTGAATTTTCAAAAGATGAGTGCAAGATGGATCCTTATTTATATTTTGTGGAGAACGGGTTACTTCGCGACAGGAACAGAGTCAAGATATCTTCAAAGAAGAATATTTTCCCATAGAATAATTAAAATTATTGTATTAGAGCTCTAGTCTTTGCCCTGACTGAGAATTAATCTCAGTTAACTCTAATAAATATTAAATTATTGGTGTTTGGTCTAGCCGGTTATTTTTCTTGAAACAAAATAATAAAATCTCATTTGTTCATGCTTGTGAATGATATAGGAAAGACACTTTATATATATAGATTTATATTCTAACCAGCTTCTTTATGTTATATTCATTCCTCAATGTACTACTTAAATGAATTTCATTATATTATATATTGTATTCAATTAGAATAGAGTTCTCATAGATAGTATATGATTATATTTATAAGTTAGTATTTTAGACAATATTAAATAATAATGCATATATATAATTAATAGGTATAATCTATAATTCATATATCTTTATCATTAATAACTCCTTGCACTATGTTTTTCTTATCATTATTTCGTAGAGTTAGTATTTATTATAACATTATTTTTTCTCATCACAAGAATGTCTTATAAACTGAAATCAAATAATATTGTATGCATAAAGTGTACAACTACTAACTATAATATCATTCGGTTCTTCATGACTCTGATTTGTATATTATAAGATATTATGTAATACATCATTATATACACAACAGAATTAAATAAAAGAAATAAAATAAAAAGAAAACAAGACAGAAGAAGTACGTTGAGACTTGTCAATAAGTTTTATTAAAAGTAAAATCGATACAAGTATTCTTAGTTATATGTTATACAGAATAATGTAAGAGTATTTATATATTTTGTGGATAAGGATGATGAGTAATAAGAAGATAAAAATATAACAAATTGTATTTGATAATATAATTATAGAAGGATTACTAAGAGTTATAATTATAGATTCATGTCTTTAGTGTATATTTATTTTTATAACTAATACGTGTATTCTGAGTAGAATCAATTATTACGCGTATATGTATTATTCTTAGTTTACCCCAGTTTAACTTGTATAAAGTTATTTTTATAAATTTATATTCAGCAGAACAATAATAGAAGAAAGTATATTTTTAGATGTAGGACTGTTTATTAATTAATTATTTTTCTATACAAGGGTAAATATACTAAATATGTTTATAGAGAGAATTATTATACAAATGCACTATGTATTCTATTATGACTATTTATCTTATTGAATTAAGTTATAAATCTTACAACCATGACACCAATGTTTTGCACTTTTCTCTTTAACTGACTCGTTCTTCTTTTGTAATCATGATAGAAAGATACCAAAGATATCATTCGATAGCCTAAGTAATTCTCTATCAAGTCATTACCAAAAATAGTAATATAATTTAAAACTCAGCGTAAAATAGTAAATAAAAAATTGAATACGCATTGGGACAGTTTTGTGGCCGTAAGTTAATTTTATTTAATTTAAACATAGAACAACTAATAATCAGTCCAACGACCTTTTGCCTTTATAACAGCTTTGCAACGGTCGGGCATAGAGTCTATAACCCTTAAACAATCTTCTTTGGTAATCTTATTCTACCATACATCCGTAATTCTTTCAAAAAGCTCACTCAATACCCTTACGTGGTGTCTCATACTCATTAAGTTTTCTTTTTGTTAGAGCCCGCATATGTTCAATAGGATTAAGGTCTGGAGACTGTGATGGCCAATCAAGAACTTCGTATTCCTGGCTTTTCAAGTATTCTTTGACTGGAATTGACCTATGTTTTGAATCGTTATCATGCTGGAAGACGATTTGGTCTCTCCTTAATCCTGTTTGCTTGCACACCATTTCGATAGATTTCTCTAATTCGTCTTGAAGGATTTCCTTATAAAGCTCTCCGTCCATAGTAGAGTCTATTTTGCACATCCAGCCAACTCCGACACAGGTAATACAACTCCAAATCATGATTGAACCGCCTCCATGTTTATAATTCTGCTTAATATGACGCATTTGAAGACTTTCATTGTCCCTTATCCAAGCCCAGACACGTCCATCGGAGTTAAAACGATTAATTTTGGTCTCGTCAGACCAAATAACCCTTCTCCAATCATCGACTGTGTAGTCTTTATACTTCTTTGCCCATCTAAGTCGTTCTTTACTATTTGTGGGACTAAGTGAAGGTTTCTGTTGTGATTGTAGTAGCCTTTATAATTAAGTTAATAGAAATAAACCATCATTTATTACATAATAAAGAGGTTATTCAAATTAAACTAATATATCGCGCTTCACAGCATAATATTCATTCTACTCTCAGTTTTGATAATAGTCATTGTTTGAGTATTCGAGCATTCAAAATAATTATATACATTATATTATGTAATAATAATAATTCAATAGGATTACGACTGTTATATTCAATTACATAATTATTTATAAGTCATACATATTATATATAGATAGCTATAAAGATAAATATTGTTATGTAATAATATCTTATAGGGTAATAATAATAGTAGCATATAAATAATTGGTATTGCTATAGCTGACATATTCACTGTGAATTAATATTGACGCGTCGCTTACCCCAGAAATAATAATTCAATATTTTTAGTAACAGCGACAGCTCAGGCAGAAAAGAATAAAAATAGATCTTATTGTAGGCAGAATTATTCGGAGAAAATATTTATGACTAATGCTTTATTAGAGCAATATTTGCTTATCCAAATCATAGTTCTATTAATATCACTTACCTTGCAAAAACATATAAATAACCCTTTACATTTTCACATAATTTTTCGGAGTACAATTTTTGTATTATTTTCTTAATAAAAAAAACTACACGAAGTTTTCACAGACTTGTCTTTTGTCTTTTTCTCTTTCTTTAACTTTTTGCTGTCAAAACAGTTTCACTTCCTTTTCTATAGAACCCAAACCGAGTGATTTTAAAGCGCGACGAACTGTCTCAGATGAGACTGACTTGCCTAGCTCCGACTTAATTGAATTTCCGACTTGCACAGCGTTTTCTAAACCTCCTCTAGTTATTTTATGAACACAGTAGTGCTTGTCCCTCTCCGTGAGCTTACCAGGTCGTCCCCCTTTTGACAAGCTGCGCCCAGATAAATATGTTTTTCCGATGCGACACACAGAACTCCGACTCACGCCAATCTGTTCAGCCACTTGACGCACAGAAAGTCCGCTGTTGAGCTTGGCAATAATGTCATTTCTTTGGTTTTCACTTATGGAGCGCATACTAACAATATGGCGTCAAGATTTAGTCCCCAAAATTATAGAATATTCTAGAACTTACCTTAATTATACTGTGGAAGGTACAAAGAAATAATACGATCGCTATTATATGCTAGGCTAAAGTTACTACCAAATTGAGGGACAGATTTTATTTTTATAGGTACGGCCACAAAACTGTCCCAATGCATATTCAATTTTTTATTTACTATTTTACGCTGAGTTTTAAATTATATTACTATTTTTGGTAATGACTTGATAGAGAATTACTTAGGCTATCGAATGATATCTTTGGTATCTTTCTAGCATGATTACAAAAGAAGAACGAGTCAGTTAAAGAGAAAAGTGCAAAACATTGGGAAAGTTTTGTGAGTCACTGTATGTGAATTGTCAGAGAAAAAAGAAAAAAGTTTTAGTGGTTTAAACGGAGGTATACTCACAATTCTTTTCGCATTCTTTTATCATTCGTCATCATTAAAGATTTTTGAATACCGCTTAGAAGTCCGATGTCATAATTTTTAACATAATTCTATTTTTCTCAAAGAAAAAAAAACCTTTCATCACACATTTTTTAAGTGAAAAAAAGCCTACATGTCTGATCTATCAAATGGTAATTTTTTTTTTGAAAGAAACTTAATCTTACTGCTATGATAATTAAAAAATACCCAACTCGTAGCAATAGACACTTATATATTTGATCATAAGACTCCTTCTCTGGCAGCCTTTGTCTTGGACCACCAATGTCTTGTTTCCACATATATTGGACAATTTGACAAAATTACTGACGCCAAGGCTAATCTTGAGAGAAAAATGAGGACTGCATACTTTGCCAAGCATCCCAAGAGAAAACGAGGTCCAGGATTAAAGGTGAATCTTGAAAAACTGTGGTCATCTTCTAAGCTAGATGATTCAGTCGAAATCGAAGGAAATAAAACTTTAGAAGCATCTATTAAGGCTAGTGGACGAAAGGCTAGAAAGCGACTAGAGATATTTATTGAATAAGGCTCACTTACAATTCGGTTTATGTTAATTTTTTCTTCTAATAGAATAGAAATGCGACAAGAGAGAAAGAGACAAAAGAGAATGAAAGTGAACAATCCAGTGAAGTAGAAAGCTCTTGTATGAGTGATGAAGAAGAGGAAACAGTGGATGAAATTGCATATAAACTTAATAATGAAGATGCCACTGAATTCGAGCAAGCTTTACTTTCTAATACTGACTCACCACATATACTGAAGAATGGTCACGACTTCAGCAATAGCTTCAAGAGATTTCAATTAAAATCATATCAGGAAGCAAGGTCTTCTGGTTTATTTATTAACGCCAATGTTCATGAAATATTGTAAGTAGGCTTTATATGCATCATTCATTATTACAGATTCCGAATGGCACCAATTTAGATCTTTATATCACACAGTATTGTTGCGAAAAGACCAGCATGACCAAGCAATGTCAAATGTAATTGGACTCGACAATATTCAAGAATTTCACACGGAACTCTTAAATAAATATGTTAACCAAGATATAAAGATGGAAAAGAATCTATTCAATCAACTAATCAACATCTTCAGAGTGAGTATCTAATAACGACATCTGACTTACTTTGACAGCTTATATCCTTTTTTTTTAGAGCGTAAACGAAAAATCTGATCGTAAAGCACTTAAAGTAAAATTACATAATTTATACGAAGCTGCCGACCCCTTGGATTCCAAGATAACTGATATATTGATTAACCTGTAAGTACAACATACATGACCCAATAAAATATTTCTGTTTAGAGGTCTAACATGTAATACATAGTATAAACAAGTTACCTGGCAATATTCTCATAAATGAAGTGGTTAAAGAATTCGAATTAATAACTAATTATCTTGATACGGTCCTCAGTCCTATAATTCATGATCCCCAAAAGAAACTGATGTACAGATGGTAGGTGCAAACGCAAAGATCGTGTGATCATTATGCCAAAAAATATATACGCTAACAGCTTTTCTGTAACTAGGCTAAATAAAGCAACGGAGTCTTCGGGCGATAGATATCCTGATGGTGGCTGTTGCATTGCCAGTCAAAGACAAACTTCTTGTTCTACTGGCTTCTGTGAAGTGAAAGCAGATTATATGAAAAGCAATACTGTTGGTACACATCTGGATTTACTCAGGTTATGCATGTGATGGAATGTCAATAAAAATAAAAGATAAAATAAAAAGAGAAAAGAGAACAAAAGGAAGTATAGTTTGAGACTGTTTTTATTCAAAAAAAATAAAGAATGTTAAAAGAAAGTTAAAGAAGAAGTTAAAGATTATTTTGTGTCTAAACAACTGCTTGTATTTATATTAATGAATCCTGAATCAAAGAAATAGAAATAACCGTCAAAGAACATGAGTCATGAAACAGTGTTAGTATTCGTATATACGTCTTGTTGATTCAAGAGACTGATCTATGGATTATCTATTGGGTGTTATAATGATCTGATCAAGTTTTAAATAAAAAATTTATTGTTTAATCTGAGTATATGTTCCTGATATCTTTTATGTTTTATTTTATTGGATCAAAGACGACCTGAATCCTTTATCAAGGTTATAAAAATAAATATTTAGAAATGATACGATGTCTTATACTTGATACATCTAGACAATTGGATGTCAATAAGTTTTATATTATTTACAAGATGTTATATACAGAGTTTTATTTCATATTCAGGCTTATATTTTATCCTGTATTATGTAATTCATCTATTATAATATTACTCATGATTATATCCAGAGCTTGTTCTATAACATCACCCCCTCCCAGGTGTGATCAATACCGTTTAGTTTCTGTTATTAATTGTTCTTTTACGCCTTTTATTATTACTCTTTGTTATAGGACAAGAACTGTTATTATCAGATACTAAAGATATCTCTCGCTTCCTGGATGAGTTAGAGTTACAGGACTTATGCTTATTTTGCTTATTATTATTAGAGTCTTCAGGAATTACTCCTAATCTTTTCCAGTATTCACTAATTATTCTTTGATCAACAAAATTTTCAGGAGGTTCCCAAGTGTCGTCTTTTTCTGTATAACCCTTCCATCTAACATTGTAAAGGTATTTATCATTGACCTTTTTATGAGCTACAATTGCCTCTACATCATAATACTCATTTGTAGAAACAACTTGATCTTGTGATACCATTTTTAAACGAGAAGGTGGATAGTTTTTCGGTTCAAGTTGTCCTTTTTCGTTTTCTAATACATAAGAACCACCAGCTGTAATTCTCTTTACTTTATAATAACCAATATATGTGGGGTCTAGTTTATTTTGTTTATCAGGAACTTGAATCATTACAATTGCTCCCACAGGAATTTTAATTAATTTGTGTGTGGCGTCAAATTTTTCTTTTTGCTTTCCAGCAATTAATTTAGTTCGTTCATAAATTGCGGGGAAAACTATCTCCGTCATCATTTTTATATTTCCTAGTAGCTGACGATTAATTTCTGCTTGGGTTGCTTTATCTTTTATTTTACTAAAATCTTCAAAGTCATTAGCATTACGACCAAACATTAATGTAAAAGGAGGTGTTTTTGTCCTTTCATTTACTTTACAATTTAAAAATAATTGTGTAGAAGGAACATAAATATCCCAGTCAGCTTTAGCGCCACTGACACGTTTTTTCATTGCTTTAACAGCGCTTTGAACCCATCTTTCACTCACTCCATTAGCTCTTGGGTGATAACTAGAAATTACTCGATGTTCAAAACCAGCATGTTCAGAAAGTAAAGAGATCATTTCATTTACAAATTCTGCGCCATTGTCAGTTTGAATTACTCTCATGGGACCAAATGTGCAAATTACATCAACAAGTTCAGTCATAACTGATAAAGCTGTTTTATCTCTTATAGGTCTTAAAACACAGAATCGAGTCGCAATATCTACCATAATTAATAGATAATTGTTACCACGAACTGATGTTGTGAAAGGACCAGCCAAATCCAAACCCCAACTATCACCAGGTAGTTTAGATGTAATAGGTCTTAACGGATTATAGCCTTTTTTAATTATATTAAATTGTTGACATGGTACACAGCTTTTTGCATCATTTTTTATATTAGACCAATAGATTCCTTTTCTACGTAAGCCATTACATATAGCATCAGAACCAAAATGACCTTTTAAATGTTGATCCATTAGTAATTCTTTTCTTTCTTTAGGATCTGCAGGTGTCATATATTCACCACTGTCCAAGCTGGGTAAAACCATTTCTTCTTTTTTAGAAGCAATACGGTTGATGATGCGAGGTTTACCCCCTCCCAGTTCATTTGAACAGTCATCAGATTCAAAAAGACGTGAAAGAGTATCAGGCAGAATATTATCAATTCCTGGCAAATGAACGATGGTAAAATCATACTGGAGAATGGTATCTAACCAGTTTATCATCATCGCATTGGCAACCTTTTGAGTATGTAAGTAAGTTAATGCCTTATGATCTGTATACAATGTAAAATGGTTACCCCAAAGATATTTATGGAATTTCTTTAAACTAAATACTAAAGCTAGGAGTTCACGTTTTGTAGCTGAATAGTTACGTTCACTTTTAGACAAACTTTTGGATATCATGGATATGTATCTTATTTCACCATTAATGTTTTGATGAAGAACTGCACCAATACCAGTTTGAGACGCATCTGTTGACACCATAAAAGGATGGTTCATATCAGGATACGAAAGTACAGTATCATTTAAGAGAGCTTTTTTCAAGTTTTCAAAAGCTATTTGGTGTTTATTTGTCCATACCTTCTTGAGTGATTTCTCATTTCGTAAAGCATCAAGAGGGGACATTATAGATGATACATTTGGAATTAAGGATCGAAAATAATTGATTAATCCTGTATATCTTTGAATATCCTTACCAGTTTGAGGTTGGGGAAATTCCATTACATTAACTAACTTACGACGATCCATGGAAATACCACGGGGTGAAATACGAAAGCCAAGAAGATATATCTCTTTTTGAAAAAATTTACATTTATCTGGATTGAGCTTGAGATTAACTTCAGTTAATCTATTAATTATTTGACTTAAGTGCAATTTATGTTCTTCTAAGGTTGAAGAACCCAAGACAATGTCATCAACAAAACATCTTGCAAAGGGCATGTCTTCTAATACAATGCTCATAGTACGTTGCATATGAGAACTTATATGCTTAAGACCAAAGACACATCCGATGGGTGTATATTGCTTATTATCAAAGGTAAAACTCAATTTATGTGCATGTTTAGGATTTAATTTTAAACTATTAAACGCAGATTTCAGATCCAAGGTGCTATAAACATTTTTTCCTTTTAGATCTTCAAATATCTCACTGATCAAAGGAAGAGGCATACGATCAATAGATTGAAGGAGAGCATTTACATGACGAGGATCATGACAGACTCTATAGCCTGTGATTTCACCTTTACCATTTGTCTTTTTAACCACTGTCAATGGACAGTTCCACTCAGTATTAGGCTCAGCTCTTTTTATGAAACCTTCATCTAACCAAGTTTTAATTTGTTCCCTAACAATTTCTTGGAATTTTATAGGAACGGGATATGGTCTGCGAAAAGTATTTTTAGCATCAGGTGGAGTTTCTATATTTACAATACTTTCCTTTAAAGTACAAAATGAACCATTCGGAATATCCTTATTCTTTTGTAAAAATGGTTTTATATAATCAATTGCTTCCTTATATTCTTTTTCTGTACCAGCAGGTGAGTCTTCTTTATCTTCTAATTCTTTATTTAGCTCAGTAAGAAGATCAGTTTCACCTTTATTTCGCTCTTTTAAAAAATTTTTTGATTCAGGAGAATCACTGATATCTTGATAATTTGTAGGTAAACCCATTATACCAATTCCAATATTGCTCATGTAATCAATACCAATACTCATGTCATAATTATTAGTTAAATTCATTACTTCAAATTTACGACTTATGGTTTTATTGTTACAAGAAATAGAAATTAAAGCTGTTCCAATTCTTTTGACTTTACTTTTAGAATCAGCTAATTCAATAAATTTATTATCATCACTAGAAATGGGACTTATAGGTATATTATGGTTTAAACAAAAATCTTTATTAATAGAACTAAAATTTGCGCCTGTATCTAGTATACTAATTGCTTTTATTGATTTAATTTCTTTATTTTCTTTTCTAACATGAATTATAATAGGAAAAGAAATAGAATTAGGATCAATATGTTTAAAATCTTTGGTTACAATAGAATTTTGATACTTACAATCCAAAGACATTCTATTTAATTGCACGATGTTATCATCTTCATCATTATTGTTTTGTACCGATCTTTTAGCCATTCTGTTTATCTTATTATTTTTACTGTTACTAATTTTGTCATTATTGTTTTGTTTATTAGCTTTTTTAGCGTCTACAAATTCTTGACAACGGTGACCCTTTATCCAAGGTTTATTACAGAAGGTGCAAGGCTTATTAGATAGTGCCAAGTTACGAGAGGTAGAAGAATCTAATACTTTATTAGGTTTAATATGACCTTTATTAGTATTACGGCTGGAAACTTTGTAGGAATCTTGCGGACCATCATGACGTGGACGTTTGATAGGAGGAGCAGCAAAGGAACTATCTTCACCGGAAGCAACAACAAGATCAATAATTTGGTTTATGGAAGTAGGTAAGTTAGTACCAAAATGAGATGCTATGGCTACTTGAGAACGGGCACGAACAGATTCTCGAAGTGAGACAAAAAACGAAACAGCCAACTGAGTTCCATCTTCTATTCCTGCTTCACGACGAAGTTTTTGATACCTACTTGCGTATTCCCTGTTTGTTTCATATCTATCTTGCTTCAATGATCCAACTTCCGCCATCAATAAAAATTTTCTATACGGTGTATCAAAACAATCTAAGATACGTGCTTTAGCTTCTGACCACGCCAAGTTACGAC